GCGCAACCCTATGGGGCTCATGTAAACGAAAAAAAAGAATATATTCTGAGAAGTGGAAAAATAACGACAATATCAATAATCATTCTTTCTGTATCTCCCTATGTGTGACTGTGTCTCGGTGAATCCACTGGTTCCAATGAATGGAGGTCTACGGGTCTTGCGAGGATACCTCGGACGACCGCGCTTCCTTCCTTGTTTCTGCTTGTGGGCAAAACTGAGAAAACTGAGAGCGGAAGAAAAAGAATTGGCGACAAAAGAGTGACGTAAGAGAGAGAGCGAGAGAAGGCGTGTACTGGTGTGTCGTCGTTTCACTTTAAACGGACGACGCTTTGAGATTGGGCTCCTGCTATTTCTCGGGACTAGTTTTTTTCTTTTTTCCAATTCTTTTTATTTTCCTTTGCTATAGATGTGGGTTAAGGAGGTAGGTGCATCTCCCGCTAATCCCGCCGCGGGGGCGGCAGCACCGTTTATTCCATCCGATGTGATTGTGGGGCAGATTGCGCCATTAATTCCTCTTTCAGTTGAGCGCATCCGCGAGCTTGTGGAACGCTTTGACGAGGACAAAATTGGAGGTCTAACTGAGACGCAATGGGTGCTGTTTTGCGAGGAAAATCAAAAGTATTTTGCCTCCTTGGGCGAGGATAGGATGTGTTTTGGGCGCTTTCTTGGGTATTGTGTTCCCGATGCAACTCAGCAGCCCAGCCGTACCCGTCGCTTTGGTCAGGCTGTCGTGCGCTTTTTAGAGGGATTTGCAGCAGGCGGTGTCGCTGGTGCCGTGAGCAAAACCGTGATAGCGCCGGGAGACAGGGTAAAGATCATTTTTCAGGTTGATTCAGGAAGACGCTTTACACTAGGCAACGCGGTGCGATTAGGCGTAAAGACGGTGCGCGATCACGGGTTTTTGGGACTCTGGATTGGAAATGGTGCGATGATGATGCGTGTAGTGCCATATAGTGCCATTACTTTTGTGTCTTTCGACTACTACCACAGTGGACTTGTCTATTTGTCGAAGTATCATCACGTAGACGGGGCCACTGACGAAAGTTTAGCCGTAGCTTTGCGTTTCTTGGGGGGTTCTTTCGCTGGGGCGACAGCAACTACCTGCACCTATCCCTTAGATTTAATGCGGGCTCGACTTGCATTTCACAGCTGCAGTGAGGAAAAGCTTCCAAGCTATCGCGTTGCGTGCAACACATTGGTGAAGACACATGGCTGGAAAGCGCTCTACGCTGGTTTGGTTCCCACACTTGTGGGTATTATGCCGTATGCGGGGTGTAGCTTTGCTGTTTTTGAAACACTGAAGAGTCGTATTGTTAAATGGCGTAATCTTCCCTCGGACAAGGCTATCTCTGTGCATGAGCGAATGGTAGCCGGTGGACTGGCTGGTCTTATTGCTCAGTCCGCCACTTACCCATTGGATATTGTGCGTCGGCGTATGCAGGTGGCTCCTAGACGTTACCGTGGTGTGTTTCACGCCCTCCGGTTAATCTATAAGGAAGAAGGTCTTTTACAAGGTTGGTACAAAGGACTGCAAATGAATTGGATCAAAGGGCCAATTGCTGTCGCCACGGGGTTCACCGTCAACGATATCGTTAAGAGGCGTATGCGAGAGTATGACGAAAAATATGCTCAGTATTCTCATCGAGAGTATCTGGTGACAATTCCAGAGGCACTTGCATGTGGTGGGGTGGCGGCTGGAGTGGCAAAACTCTGGACTGTACCATTTGATCGATTAAAAATTATGTATCAAGTAGGTCTGGGCGCCTCTGATACACATAAGTTTGGAAGTCAAGGATTTGCGTTCAAGGGTAATATGTATGCTGAGAACCCAAATATATGGCAAGGTAGTGGAATCACCATGATGAGAGTCATTCCTTACGGGGCGCTTGCATACTGTTTCTTTGATATTTTTCAAACCGCCTCTGAACGACTACTGTTTTCTTTAACTCCTACACCTGCCACCAATTTTCTTGCGGGTGGAGCAGCAGCGGCGTTGACGACAACCATCTTATATCCGCTTGATCTTGTACGTACCAAAGCTGCTACCAATAGACTTCCGTCATTTTCGCAATCGTATTACTGGACACTGCGTGATATGGCGCGACAGAAGGGTCTACGCTCACTTTGGGAGGGTGGCTCGCTTGCCGTCATGGGTGTGGTTCCCTGTGCCGGTATAGGATTTGCCACTTATGAATTTATCAAGGAAAGATATGAATGCGCAAACTTTGGTCAACGGCTTCTTGCCGGCATGTGTGCTGGGGTCGCTGGTCAATTCACGACGTATCCTCTTAACATTGCTAGGCGACAACGGCAGGTTGAGCAACTTGCGTACTCGGGGTTGGGCGACCTTAAAAAGGTGTTTATGAATCCCGGATTCTATGCTTCATTGTACAGGAAACCGCATTTTGGCCTATCAATAGGTCCAATGGCGTTGGGGATGTCGTTTGCTCTCAATGACTTCTGCCGTGATGGGGTTGTCAAGGCGCGAAAGGAAATTTTGCACGATTTATTTTTTACTGGTTCGGCAGCGTAACGTATAACGGCACCCCACGACAATGCTTCACGCTGACGCCTGAACGCTGTGGCCCACAGGGTCTTTGGAATTTTACCCTTTGCTAAGAAGGGAAGGTAAATTAACGGGAATGCGCTGCGTAGGAGGGTTGAGGAGCGTCGGGGGAGCTCTACAGCCCTTCTAATTGAACCTGAAGAGGTGGTCAGCCTCCCGGTGCCGCTGCGGGAGTCGGTGTTGGAAAGGCAAGCAATACGTGATATGGGTGCGTTATTTTCGTTGTTGTTTCTGTTCCTACTGGATTTGTGCTGCGATGATGCCTATCCCCCCTTTTCTCCTTCAGCGCACGGAGATGAGTCGGGAACGGGGTGCGGAAGCGAAGAGGCCGAGCAGGAAGGAAATTTTGGATTCTCAACCCACTCCTTTTTTTTTCTTTCCTTTTTTTCTCCACGCCCAACAGAGAGTGTTGAATTAACAATTCCTTGCCTCGGTGCACGTCGGCGCACCCAAAGCAGTATAAGGCAGAAGAACTAATAATACGAAGCAATCAAAATAGGAGGAGGCGAAGGGGGAAAAATTGTGGTCCTATAGATGTATATATATACATATATATAGGACCACAACACGATGGTGCGATTGAGGAAAGTTTGCTGCACCGTTTGGGAGTCCAGCCTCCTTGGCGGCTTTGCTGCCGGATTGCTTTGCTTTTCTTTACACTTTTAATACCAATATACATTCGCATATCTAAGTATATAATTTTGTTTCTGTTCTTATATATAATTCTCTATGGGACAACGCACGGCACGCATAATTTAAAAAAAAAATTATCTGTGTCTAAAAGCGTGTGAGAATGAATGTGGAGGATCATTGCCACGGATACCACATGTGTGGCGCCTTTCTCTATGCACAACTATACACGGCTGTTTCCCCCATTCCTCACTTTCCCCCGTGTATTTTGTGTATTTGCTCTTTCTTCCCATTACTATTGTAATGCACAAATTTTATGTGTATTGGATTTCCCTGTGTGAGTTCTGCTGCGAAGAGGTAAAAAGGCTTATCAGGGTCTAATTCGCCACAAGAGGGTAAAACAGGGTAGTTATTGATAAATAAGGTATACAGTAGTAAAACAGAAGCAGGGATTACAATAGAAGAAATCACAGCGCTCGCTCCACATTATTTCGCCGTTTTAATTTTTAGCATTCTAATATCCCCGATGAGTAGCGAGACGGGCGAGGCTCTGCCACCGTTGGACGAGCTCCGGGAGGCGGGAAACAACGCCTTTAAGGCCGGCAATTTTGACGTTGCCATTGCACATTATACTCAGGCAATTGAGGCCAATCCACAGGAGGTAGCTCTCTTTTCGAACCGTAGCGCAGCCCACTTTAAAAAAGGCGACTTTGAGGCCGCTGCCCAGGATGCCGCGGCAGCCATTGCGGTTGACAAGACGTTTGCCAAGTCCTATTCACGCCTTCACAACGCGTACTGTAATTTGGGGCGTTTTCAAGAAGCAGCGCAGAGACTTAATGAGGGCATCGAGGCGCTAAAGGCTTCTGGTGCCTCCAAGGAGGAGATAAGACATCTACGTGAACTCTGCCTGGATGCGGAGGCGGGGAGGAAGGCAGTTGATGATGGAAGACGATTTTTGGAGAATCGAGACTTCGCAGCGGCGGAACGCTCACTGGCGTCGACGGCGCGATCATTCCCTGACTGCGCCACTATTGCATTTATGTTTGGCGAGGCCCTCGCTCCGCGGCAACCAGAAGAAGCCAATCGCATCCTTGTGCGGTTCACTCGGGCACATGCGCAGGATACCTACTACTTGTATGTGCGGGCCTTAGCCAGCTATTACCGTGGTCCGGATGGCTTTAAAGCTGCGCAGAACATTCTTCGTCAGGCATTGGAGTTGGATCCGGATAACCGGAAAGTTAGTGCACTCTTAAAAAAGATACGAGTGATTGAATTTCACAAGGAATGTGGCAATACTGCCTATAAAGGGAAACGTTACCGAGATGCCATTAATGCGTACACGTCTGCATTGGGCATAGATGCCACTAATCTAAGAACGTTAGCCACCTTGCGCGCCAACCAGGCTGCGGCAAAAATGGAACTAAAAGAATATTCCGACGCTTTGCTTGACTGTGACTTTGCTGTTAACAATGGTCTAAGTACTGCCAAACTTTTTGCGCGACGTGCACGAATTCACGAGGCACTTAATAATTACGATGACGCTTTAAGAGATATTCAGAAGGCAACCGAGATGGACGCTTCGTACGAGGGAGAGTTTCAGCGTACAAAGGCAAGCGCAAAAAGGGCAAAACGCAAAGATTATTACAAAGTTCTTGACCTGCCGCCTAACGAAAATGACGATGCTCAGATTAAGCGTGCATACAAAAAGGCATGCTTGCAGTGGCATCCAGACAAATGGGCTCATGCCAGCCAGGAGGAAAAGACACACGCCGAAAAAATGTTCAAGGAGGTGGGTGAGGCCTTCTCCATTCTCTCAGACCCACAGAAGAAACGCATGTACGACAATGGGATGCTTGACAACGCAGTTGAAGGAGCCAGTGGGACCGGATTTTCAGGTTTTGCAGGACAAGATGAGGTTTTAATGCACATGATGAACAGAATGTTCTTTACAGGCGGGGGAGGTCGATGGGGTTTGGCTTCGACGGCGCCCCTCAGGGACGTCGTAAGCAGCAGCAGCAGAATGGGTTCGCATTCCAGTTTTTCTAACCTCGTATGAACCCTCTTCCCCATTCTTTTTTTTTCTTTTTTTGTCTTTTCTCTCATCATTTGCCCTACTTTGGCAAATGAATCCAAGATGGAAGCCTTGTACGTACAGTGACGCGCAAACCCACAGTCGTTCCCACGTGCCCCAGTCGTTAAACACGGACAGTTGATGCTTACGCGTTGTTGTCACCACGGCGATGATGACGTTGATGCTGATGCTGCTGTTGGTAACTAAATGTTCTGGAGATTGTATTTCTTGGTGTGATGCCCTCTTCGCTAGTGTGGGGCCTGTGATGTGCGTGCGCGAGGCGTCTTGAAGGCAGTGTTAAGCGCATTGTTGTTTGGGTCACCGTAGCCATCGTGGATGCTTCCCGCTTTTTTCTTTATTATTATTTCCGACATTCCTTCTTATTATGTGTGATTGCCTTCTTCGCTATTTTTGATGTGTGGCGCGTGCTGGGTGGCCCTGTTGACCCGCTGAGCGCCATGCGCTTATTTCCAATAAAAAAACACCCACGAAAATTCACGCCTTCTGCGAGAGGCGATGACGATGATGTGCTGCCTTCTTCTCTTGCGGTCTCTAAAGGGGCGCAAAGGAATCGTAGAAAGGAAGACGTCTCAACAGGTGTTGCTCGTATTATTATTATTCACTGCCACACACGCACACACAAATACAATTAATAATTCGGTGAGGGTTGTATACGATATAGGCATTGGCTGCGCCGCGGTCGCGCTCTCGCCCTCTCGTTTGCTTTGTTTCAGAGGGGGAAATAAGGCAATGCCTCCTCGTTTTCGCATCTGTCCCATTTGCCAGCAGGGCTTTGGCACGGCCTCTCTCCCGATCCACATCCCGCAGTGCTACGAAAAGGCAATGAAGCGGTGGCGTCTCAATCCTGTTGGGCCGATGCCAAGCATGCCCTGCCTAACAACCGCGCCGCCCAGGGGTGGAAAAAGTAGTATCGGGGGCGCAGCGTGTGGCACCGGTGTGACCGGCGCGAGGTCATTGCGGAGGAATGAGGCTTTTGCATCTGTCCCAGAATATTCTGAAGAGAATGTGAACTTGCATCCGTGTTCCCGCTGCGGAAGAAAGTTTTTATTTGATCGTATTGCCTACCATGAGAGTGTATGCAGGGGCAACAGAAAACGTAAGGTGTTTGATAGCCGCAAACAACGCGCCCTTGTTGAGGACGATGGGGACTTTGGCAGTGGAGCTGGATATTCATACGGAAGCAAAGGTAAACGCGGAAAATCAAAGCCAAGCGGTTTTCCGGCGGCGGCTGGTGTTCCGAAGACACACTGGCGTGAGCAGCACCGTGAATTTATTGAAGCTATACGCGCTGCACGTAGTTCAACGAGAGGTAGCCGAGCCATGTGGGGGGAGCCTGCCGTAACAGCGCCACGTGCCCCTGTAGGCAACCGCCAACGTGCACCACCCGCCGTCTTGCGGCACCAGAAGGGAATGCAGATGCGTCAGCAACGGTCACCGCAAACTGTCGAGCCCTTTGCTTCTAGGCAGCAGCTCTCTGATCGAAGAGCACCACCCAGACGAAAATATGGAAGTGCCTTTGGCGGCGGAGGAGAGCGTTTCGCGGGCGGTGGTGGCCTGGGTGGAGGCGGCCCCGTACGAATACTCAACGACAATACAACTAGTTTGGGAATGCTCCAGGCGTTTGGTCGAGCTTAGCTTTAGTAGCATCCTGTGTTTTTCTCGTAGTGCTCGTTTAATTTAATTTAATTTTTTTTTCTTGGCCCATCGGCCAAGAGCAAGAAGGCATTATGCAGAGAGGAATACACCTCGGTTTGCCATTGGTCTTTGCAATGCTCCCATCACCTTTCTCTTCCTGTTAACTACTTGGTCTCTTTTTTTTGCTTTTGTTTCAAGTTCTTTTTTCTGTCGAGCGGCGGCCCTCGAAGTACATAACCTGTATAACTTTTCCATCCTTACAAGGGGAATGTGTGCAGATATTTATATACCCTTCCCCTTGGGACGTATTTGCCTCTGCTGCGCACAAAAAGAAAAAAAAGCAAAACCAAAAACAAAAGAAAAATTTCTGCCTGGCGACTGGAAGGGACCTTCTTTATGATGCTTTAATGTAATTTTTTTTTTCTTGCCGATATGTGTATGTGAGCGAGGTGACCGGGGTTGCGTGTGGTGTTTGAGGGAAGCACTCCTTTGAAGGGAGGTCCAAAAATGGAGTACACGCAAACTCCGCGTAAATAACTCCTCCCAGTTTTTTTTTTCCTTGCCTATTCTCATTATTCATTCAGACCCATTCATGTCCCCCTCTTCATGGATATATACACACATGTATATCTGAATGAACACACGTGGTGCCCTACTCATATGCACTGGGAGATAGTGCTGCTGTCTTGCCTTGCCCTGGTGAAGGATGCAAAGCGAATTATCCTTTAATTTTGATGTGCACGCATGCATGAATGAAATATAAATGTTATTATCCTCCTTCTTTCTCCCGTTTGTGCTCTGGGTTCTTGCCCCATGTGGTTGTAAAAATTCATTTAGATATTGAATAGATATGCTGCGCAGGTCCACTTTTTCTCTCTTGGCTGCATCCCGCCTATTCTTGTCGGGTGGAGGCTCGGGTCCTACACCGTACCAAGACAAAGCGTACCCTATACAGCCCCATGGATTGAACGAGCTTCAGCAACCACCGGATACATGGCGTAAGAGCCCATTTATGAGTAAGTTGATGGATCAATCTCTTCCAGTGTACGACGATGTTGTCACGGGTTCCGGCCGTCTGTATTGGCAGGAGCCCGCCAAGGTCTGGCACTTCTTTGAGGCAGATGACACTCTCATTCTGGAGGAGCACGACCGTGAAGAGTGGAACGATCGTCCGTACATTGCAGTAAACCACCTCTACGAGCCACCCATTGGCAGCGAGGAACGTCCTATCCGCATTGAGGCAGTAGGCAACCCTGGCGACCAGCAGATTGTGCTCTGCTTTGGTAACTGCGCCCCTCATGTCCCGCAGTCCAACTACTACATGATGATGAAGGGCTATACAAAGAACAAGTGCCCCATGTGCCAACAGTGGTTCTACATTCACAATCGTCCCTGGTTGGTGATGCATCCGGACTGGACAGATGAACCCGCCGCAGATGAGGGACCTGCTTACACGTTTGCCGAAATTGAGTCCGAATTTGACCGCGACTTCCACGAGTTTGCCGTTTACCTGAACGCCGAATAGGCAATATAGCATATTGTTAGTCTGATAAGGGTTTGATATAAAGTTTCTAGTTCTAGCAGGAAGAATGAAAAAAAAATGAAAAAAAAAGGGGCGGGGGATTACCTGAGGGAAATATTGGTTGACTTTCAACCCGTAGGAAAAATTGGATGCCTTGTGCGTGCGCGTGTAGCAGGGCGAAAGCAGAGCGAGCGCGCGCGTGTCTAGCTGTTTGGGTGGTGATGTGGCCTCCTCTGTAGAAAATATTTTCTCCCCGCGGGGTTTGTTTCATTCATTATTAGGAGGAAAGGGTTGAGGTTGGATGACTTGATGCTGTGGTGCCCTCGTTCTTGTGCGCTCCGCCACGGGCGCAGAGTCGAGGTGAGCGTGCGCACTAGTCCGCGCCTATGATAAATGTATGTATATATCTTTTTTTTCTGTTCCACACATACACCAACTCCCCCTCTCTTCCTCTCAACTTTTAAAAATGTACATATATGCATCTGTCTTTCATTACAAGTAAAGGTCATGTCACTTTACCAGGGGAAGACCGTGCTGGCTCCGATGGTGCGTGTCAGTAGCGTGGGGTTTCGCGTGTTCTGTGCGGCACAAGGGGCGGATGTTGTGTTCTCCGAAGAGGTTGTGGCAGCCAAGTTGGGACGTTGCCGTCGCGAGGTTCGTGTGCACAATGATGCTGTGGGACGCATGATTGAGTTTGTGGCGTACGAGCCCTTTAAGAATCAGTACAAGAGAAATGTTGTGTTCACCACACCGGCACGGGCATCTGCCAATCAAACCAGCGAAGGTGCTCCAGTCGTGTTACAGCTCGGCGTTTCAAGTGCTGCGGTAGGGGCGGCTGCGGCCTTGTTGTGTTGCGAGGACGTGGATGGCATAGATGTTAACATGGGGTGCCCCAAAAAGTTCAGTGTTGCCAATGGAATGGGAGCTGCACTAATGCGGGACACCTTCAGGGCGGCGGCTATCTTGCTTGCCATGGACGCTGCCGTTAACGCTCCTGACAGGTTAACCGCCCGTGGTCGACGTGTGCCACTGAGCTTTAAGGTCCGACTTCTGGAGACGTCGGAGGCGACGGCAGACATGCTGATTTCTATTATGGAAAAGGTGGGGCCCAATCGCGTCCACGCCGTGACTCTCCACGCCCGTACAGTGGACCAGACATCGGAAACGCCACCGCATTATGATCGAGCAGCAGAAACTGTGAACCGACTTCGCAGCCACCCGTTATTTAAGGAAATGTGTTTTGTCCTTAACGGGTCGGTGAGATCCCGTGAGGACGGTGCGGCCAAAATGGCAAAGTTTGGATTTGATGCGGTCATGCTTGCACGTCATGCGATGTGGGATATGTCAGTGTTTTCTTCCAAGGTTTCCTCTGTGGGGGGACACAGTGCTTTGGGCAGTGAAGCTGGTGAGTTGCCATGGGCGTACGCGTCGTGGATGGATTTGTACAGAGATTTGCTTCGATGCCATGCTAGGTACTGCACACCCTTCACCTTCGTCAAGTATCATCTTACCCGCTCCATCTCGTGCATTCCTGCAATGAGGCACTTGATGGTTGCTGTCCAGCGGGACGCCAACTGCTACGCGGATGTGGCGAGAATCCTCGCAATGCCAGTGGAGGAGCAGGCGTCAATGCGTGGGGCCAATGCGCTGGAGTTAGTTTCTTGTGTCCCGAAGGGGGAACTTACATTGGACGCTGCGACTCCCGGAAACGGTGATGTAGCAGGCAGCGAACGAGGGCAAGGTGACGAAGGCGCAGCAGCTCCAATGCTCAAGAAAAGAAAGAGGCAGTGACGACGGTGGGAGAGGCGTATACCTGCTTCCGAGACACCTTTATCGTACATTCCTTGTAGTGCATTCTTGGCTGACTGGCTGCGTGTTGCGCATAATTATTATCCTTTTTTTTTACGGTTAAAATTCCTTTGCCATTTGCGTGTGTGCGTGTTTTTTTTTCTGATTCTTATTCTTTTTTCATTCCTTCCCTCCAGCATCGCCTTTGTTTTCGTCGGTGCCTTCGTTTGGGATCGCTCTTGTTGCTTCACTTGGCTTCAGGCTGCCTTTTTTTTTTGCTGTCTTCCATTGTTTTGAGGGTGCCACCCAGCCAATGGCTCTTGCCCCACGGGCCCGTCCCAACTGTATTGAGCAGGCGTGGGCGTACATCGACCGCATCCTGGATGAGCCGGAGGGCCTCAAGGTCCTTTTGTGCGATGACGCAACCCGCAATATCATGTCCGTAGTGTATTCGCAGCACCAGCTGTTGCAGCACAATGTGGTGCTTGTGGACATGCTGAGCAACCGGGAGCATTACCCGATGAAGCACCTTCACTGCGTCATATTTTGCCGACCGTCACCATCCTCGTTGGCCTGCGTGTATCAAGAGCTGGCGGAGGGTAATTTTGCCTCCTATTCCCTCTACTTTTCTCACCTACTAGAGTCGAACATTGTGCAGTCTCTGGCAAATGCGGATCTCTTGAACTTGACAAGGGCCCTCAATGAGGTCTATCTGGACTCCGTCCCACTCACCGAGTACGTGTCTATTGCGCAGCTAAAACCCACCACGCCGCGTTCTATTGCCGGGCCCATTGCGAACCCTATCACCTACTCACAATGGGATAGCGCTTCGTTAGATCGCATGACGGAGGCCATTGTGAGTCTCATGCTCATGACAAACCGTCGTCCTGCCATCCGTTATCGAGGAGGGAACAAAGTCTCAGAGAAGCTGGCGAAGCTTGTGGCGGGAAAGATGAAAACTGTGCATCAAAACTTTCCAGACCTCAAGGCGAGGGAGTCGGTGCTTGTGATCTTGGACAGGATGGACGACCCGGTTACCGCTCTCGTCATGCCATGGACCTATGAGGCGATGATACATGAAATTATTGGGTTTCAATATGGAAACGAAGTCACCATCGACGACCCGGATGCTAAACCCGAAGAGCGTGTGCACGTTCTTACGGCGCACACCGATCCATTTTTTGCCCAGCACCGCTACGACGATTATGGGCAGGTGTGTATTGCGGTGAGTGAGTTAGTGAAGGCCTACAAGGCCCTGAACAATTTTGATAGGAACAATGTGTCGTTGGATGAGATCAAAAACTTCATGAGTCGGTTTCCCGAGGCACGTAAGCAGTCAGTGCAGGTGACACGCCACTGCGGCCTTGCGAGTCAGCTGGTAACGGAGGTGAATGGACGTAACTTGACGCTTTTGTCAGTCTTGGAGCAGGAAATGCTTGCTTCCAGTAACGTCACAGAGCACTCCAGGCAAATGATGGATGTTGTACAGGATCCAAAGACGGACATTGACGACGCCCTACGCATGGTAATGCTCTACGCTCTAAGGTATGAAAAGGTCAATGGGAATAACATCTCACAGTTAAAAGAAACGTTAGAGAAACGTAACTGTCCGGTGGGAAGAATTTCACTTATTGACCGTGTGCTGGAGTACGGAGGGGCGGATAGACGGTTGCATCAGCTGTTCCGTGTGCCCACAGGGCACATGTTTAAGATTGTTGCCAAAGCTGTGGGCCAGTTTGGGAAGGATGTTCAGAACGTTCTGACACAGTACGTACCCCTCATGAAGAAACTCATCAATAGAGTGTACAATGGAACGCTGTCGGAGGACAACTACCCAGTGCAGGAGGTGGAGGGTGCTCCCATTGCGGCTTCGGCCGTGCCTACTATCCGTGCGAAGGATATTATTATTGTGATGGTGGGCGGCGTAACATACTCGGAGGCGATGCTGTTGCACCAAATTAATCAAGGATTAGTGCCCAATAACGTGGAATCCTTGATGAATTTGGGGAAAAATGTGACGCGCCTTGTGAGCGGCGACCCCAGCGCCAACGCCGCGTCGGGTGAGCCATACACGGAGAAGATTGAGGCTCGTGTCACGCTTCTCTCTACCAGCATGATTGACTCAAAGGACTTCATCCACTCTTTGCCGTCGTAAACTTCAATACGGTGTGTGTGTGTGTGTGGTTTCCCCTGCGAAGAAAATGTACGAGCGACGGGGTGGGAGCAAGAACCATCGAGAAAGAAGAACAAGCGACACCGTTCCTGGATGTGCACGCCCCTTTACCTTTGCTTCCTTTTTATTTGTAAATTGGGTGGTGGGATCCGGCGGAGGTGAAGTGAAGTACACGCACACGCAACCGCAATCCTTTCTTCTGCTCCTCTCTCGCTCTTGCACTCTCTCTCGCACTTTGTGTGTGTGTGTGTGTGTAGGGTCTTTCTTGCTACGCTGTTGTTGGTTGCTTTTCTCTTCCCACGCACTCGCTGGCGTTGTGTAGACAGAGTAGGACCCGGCCTTGCCGTGTGACTGTTTTTTCTTCCCCCTTCCCTTTCACTGTTCAGCTGTAGCTGCCCCTCCCTCTTTTCGTCACATGTCGGGAGCGTTCCCAACTGGGGTGCCGAACCTATTCACCTCGCCTTTCGCGGCATTCCCGGCGAGGAGCTTATTTCATTCTACTGAGCGCCCGGCGGAGGGCGGCTGCGCCTTCACACACGAAGATCGACTTATGCTGCAGCTGTTGTACCAGCAGCAACAGGCCCTACAGATTCAGCTCCAGTCCATGGCGTTGTCGATGCAGCAGCTCCATCTGACACTGGCCGGACTTTGCAAACTGCCCGCGGCGATGGAGGCCTATGGAACGACAGTTAATAGCACAAGCCCTGCATCAAACCTCCCCAACTTTGTTGCAACGGAGGCGCAGTCATCGTTTAATAATACCGCCGATGCAGCGATGGCACCGCAGCGGCAGACAGCAAAGGATCCGCAAGGGGGGGATGCAGCTATAGACACACAAGCATCACGTGGGAAGGAGGTGTCGTGCTCTTGCACACCTCCCCGAGAAGAATTAGACTTCTCACGCCATAGCGCAATGAATCAATCCACGGAATCTGCGGCTCCGTGGGACCCCTCTGCCAGCTCACGCCAAAGTAGTGTTATACGCATGGCACGTGGAGAGAATCCTCTCTTGTCCTCTATGCGAGGCAAGTTGCCAACCCCCAACCACTCTGTTGCAGGGTCCGTTTCGGCCGGAACAGGGTATAGTGCGAGCGCAAACGTCAGCGGATCTCTAGAGGACCCAAGGTCGTCGTTTCGTCCCGCCATTTATCAGACCTCCTCTTTGTCTCTCCATGCTGATCCTGAAGCCAAGAACGTAGCCGCAGCTGGGCAAACCGTGCCCGGGGCTCACCACCACCAGCAGCAGCAGCGTGTTGTTTTAGACAATCGTAAGACGGATCCAGCGGGGCGTTCACATTCCAGCGCCGAGGCGGTGTCGTTAATGAATAGGCGCTATGAGGAACTTCGCCATGCACGGCCAAGGAACGCTGCCTGTGACAAACAATGTCGTGGAGAAAAGGAGGAACACGGTGATACAAGCCTGTCCGCGGCTGGCTACGACTCACAGAGCGATGGCTACGGGAGCTACGAAACGAGACAGTATCTCAAAAATGTGGGGATCATCTGATGAGCCATGTGATATAAACCCAAAAGAAAAAGAGCAAGAAAAAACCACCACACGAGTATAAAAAGAAAAAAGAAAAAAAAAGAAA